TTGACCATTGTAAATAAATAAATAAATAAATAGAAATAAAATTAAATAAATGAAAAGGAGGCTAACAAGATATGCAGAGAAACATATGGACAACATTCTGTAATTATAAAACTACAAAGTGCACCTCTATGATAAGTGGAGCTGATAAAATGGACATAGTGTAGAAACAAGGAGGTGTATTTTAAGTTTCTCCACATGATGTTTAAAATGTGGGATATTATTTTGTATTTGTGACATGGGGGACCGACCCTGTAGGGCACAGAGGCTTCAGTTTTAATTGCTGTCACTTCAGAAGGGCTTATATCTCAGCCAGGATCCTAGTATGCTAATCTGCTTTGTGGCAGGTTAGTAGTGTAGCCTGTCAGTTCATTGCATGGTTTGTGGTAGAGAGAATAGATTGTGGGCGTTAGGAGGCAGTAGTGTGTAGGTTAAGTGTAAGGCAAGCAGGAATAATGTCATTATAAGCTTCCATCCTACTGAAAGACATCTGTCATGGGCTGTTTCTAAAACCTCTGTTGTAATGTTCTTTGCTTCCTTCCTTGCTCACCTCAGCTATTTAGAGTGACTGAGCTACTGACAGACATACTACACAGTTCCTGACTAGAACTAGATGCAGTGGAATTTTATGTTTCTGCCATAGTCAGAAAGTTGTGAAACTATTTCAATATGAAGTAAAAATATTGAAATCTTGAAATCTTGTATGTAACAAGTTTAAAATAAATCTCAGGTAAAACTAACATACAGCGACATGTAGTGGCAGATGTGTGTTTTTTGCAGTTGGGTTTAATTTAAACCACAGATGCTCATAACAGTTCTGGAGCTTAAGAACTCATGTGCCTCTTTAAACTCGTAACCACAGTTAAGCTAATGACAGGGTAAGATGATGAGACTATCGTTTATTTAAATAATAGTAAACTATTAATTCTGATTTAACACTCTCATCCTCTGTATTGTCTCAGTAATCTTGTTACTAGCCTCACAAGCCCTAAAGGAAGCCCATCACTAGACCCGCAAACCTCAAAAAAAAATAAAATAAATAAAAAAAATAACAACAACAAAAAAAAAAAACCAAACAAAACAAAATAACCGGTAATAATTCCCTGTATATGTTAACGCTACATGACTGCAATATTATAAATATAAGTTACTGGTTAGTATTTTTCATGTGCTTTCAATTAGACTAACATATGTAACTTAGGATAATTCAGGCATCCTCAGATATTTAGTTAAGCCTTGGTACATGCTCATTTTATAAACAGCTTCAGTTTGATGTCGATTTGGAGGTTATTGTTAACTAAACTGTCTACCACAGCATACTGAACTGAAATAATCAGCATAAAGTGTAGACTCTCAGCCATAATTAGATGGTATTTACATCTAAATTGGGTTGAACAGTGTAGGGCAATCTTTTTGGGTAACAAATTTCAGACATTGCCCTCCATTTTTCAGGGCTCAATTGTAATTGAACTAATATAATCATAAATTCACTTGTCATTTTAATACTTGGCTGCAAACCCCTTGCAGTCAATGATTGTCTGAAGTCTGAAGTCCATAGACATCACCAGATGCTAGGTTTCTTCCCTGGTAATGCCTTTGCCAGGCCTTTACTGCAGCTGTCTTCAGTTCCTGCTTCTTCTTGGGTTATTTTACCTTCTGTTTTGCCTTCGGTAAGTGAAATGCTCAATTGGATTGAGGTCAGGTTATTCACTTGGCCATTGCAGAACATTCCACTTATTTGCCTTAAAAAGATTTGGGTTGTTTTTGCAGCATGCTTTGGATCCGATTTACTGCCCAAATGTCCAACAAACACAGCTGTCTTCCATATTTTCTTAAGATTAATTCTTTCTTTAAACTTGTAGGACAGCAGACACTAAATCTGCACTAAATGGATTATGATCAGAGAAAGGTAGCTCAGTTTTTTTTCATTTACCTGTTGTGAAGAAAAATGCTAGCCAGGGGAAGCAAACTCGATGCTGAGTTTGCATCCCCTTGCTAGCTGGATAAAGAGACAAAATTTGTGTGAAGGATATGTTTTGGATTTCAGTACTACATATAAAAATAGCCAAAATCGGAACATAAATACATTGAGTGTGTTTTTGCTGTTCATGCTGTCTCACAAAAAAACAAATTTGTGTCATGTATGAATAAAAAGACTGGATTTGGGCCACTTTTAACTGCATCATAAACGTAGCTTTAGATAATTTGGGCAAAATCTAATCCTGTTTTGAGGCTTCCCAATGGTTCACATCTTGTGATAAACCCTCAGTATTTACTTTGCTGAAGTCTTCATGATTCTTGACTTTGACATGCCTACCTCCTGGTTAGTGTTTTTGATCTCTTGAACTCTTGTGAAGGGTTTTTTCTTGACCAGGGAAAAAATTCACAGTTGTTTTCCATGGTGTTCCAGGCCTTTTAGTGTTTTTGAACTCAAAACTGTGTTCTTTATTTTAAAGAATGTACCAGATATTTAATTTGGCTACATCTGATGTTTTTGCTATCTCTCTGATGGGTTTGTTTTGATTTTACAGCTTAAAGATGGCTTGCTTCAGTGGCAGTGACAGCTCATTAGATGTCATATTCAGAGTTAACAGCAACAGATTCCAAGGCAAATGCCACACTTGGAATCAAATCTTGACATTTATTTGCTTATCTGTAAGCCTTGGAACAGCTGAGCAGACCGTTCTCCATTTATTTTGAGCCTCTTAAAATGGAGAGGCTACGTGTGAAATTGGTTGTAATATGCCTACTCTGTTCATCTGATTGGATGTACATTTAGCAAATGTAACCAAATGACTTGCATGCTAAAAAGGGTGCCAAAAAAGACACAAAGTTAAAAGATTTTTTTAAAAGCTGATTACACAAATGAGACAAAAACAAGGCAGCAAATGTTTCAGTCAGCAGACTTTCATCAGTGATACGCAAGACATAGGCAGAAGAAAAACTCAGCTCTAAAAATCATTTAACTTTGTGGCTTTTGCCCTGTTTTTTGGTGTACGAGCCATTTATTTCATTTTTAGATTTTTGGGTGTAAATTCTCTTACTTCAAGCTCATACTCTTATTTAAGTTCCACTCCAATTTGCTGTGGAAAATATCTAAAATAACAAAAACTTTATCAGTGTCCAAATATTTATGGACCTGGTTGTATTTTTCCACACTTCTAAAGTTCAGTCTTAGAAGTTTGTTGCATTTTCTGCTTCTCGCAATCCAAGTAATCCCAATTACAAATTTAGATTCATCCGTCCATAAAACCTTACTCCACATCTCAGATTCACTCCAGTTCTTATGTTCTAGTGCACATCTTAATTTTTTTCTCAGTAACAGCTTCTTGACAGCTGCACATCCTTTCAGACCCATAGCACTGAGTTGTCGTCTTACAGTGGAAGGGAGGACAGAAACCCCTGTGGATTTTTTCAGATTGGACGCAAGAGTAGAGCTGCATTTTTTTCTCTCAAACACTCTCAAACATGAAAGCTTTAAGTACTTTTCATCTGAACATCTGGGTGACAGTTTTGGTGGGCTACCAGGTCTTGCAAGGCTGATAGAAGTTTCTCCTTCCACAGGCAGGTGGGTTCTTAAACTTAACTGCTCTGTAGTTTAAAACACGAATGCGGTTACAATTAAACTCAGTTACTGTGTCATTTAAAAATCACACATCTGCCACTAGATGTCGCTGTATTGCATGTGTAACTGGGGTCTATTTTAAACTTGATAAAGTTTAATGTGGTTTCACAGAGGTTTAGAGCAGGGTGTCCAATCTTATCAGCAGAGGGCCGGTGTGGCTGCAGATTTTCTATATTGAGGTCTTATACTCACCTAGAAAAAGTATTAATCATTGCAGTTTTGATTAGGCTTTTTCACAAAGTATTGTTTAGAGAAGCTAAACGTGACCTGTGTTTAGGCTCTCCTTGTAATTGACTCAAAAGGGAAACTGTAGCAGACACGCATCTCATCTTAACATTGTATTTCTCATTCTCCCAGCCCCACACAGGAATGATTTGCAGTGACTGCTAAGCTATGCATTGCATGGAGATGCATTGCATGGAGCATCTTCATTGTGGGATGCTGTGCAGTATTAACATCAGCCAGCTGTGCAGCTCCTCGTGGATGTGGGACACAGGGCTCATCCCTATGTGTTCCTACTGGACAAGTTTCACATCGACCACTTGTTTAAAAAATCACCACAGATATTTGGTTCCAGTTAATGTTGACTGACAAATTTTCTTTTTCTTTGCCGAGTTGAACAACTGCCCATCCTGTGCAGTCTGATACTGTTGCTTCTTCTGCCTTGATCGGGCGCCCACTGTTCGCCAGCCTTCTGAACCAGTTTGACCACCAAGGAGCTTCTTGCTGTGCAAACCTCACCTGCATGAACTGACCTTCCTAATGATACTGCTTCTGCTGCTGCTGCACAGATTCAGACTATTTAACCATTGCTTCACCTGTTTTTCCCCATTTCTGTATTATAATATTTTATACTAATGCTGTTTGCTATCCGGTGTCAACCAGAGGAGGATGGGTTCCCCTTTTGAGTCTTGGTTCTTGTCAAGGTTTCCTCCTCTTGCTCTTAAGGAGTCGCCATTGGCTTGCTCATGGGGGCGTGGACCTGGATTTTTCTGTAAAGCTGCTTTGTGAAAAACACCTGTTGTAAAAAACGCTATATAAATTAACTTTGACTTGACTTGAAATCTTTCATATAGCAAAACATGTCCTTATTAAGTAGTGTTTTGTTTTATAGTGGCTGATCATGATATAATTTGACAGTACCTCAGTATACCGGACGTTTAACTGTGGATCAGGTATACTTGTGCTTATTTTGACAGAGCAGTCAAGTTTAATTTAACATGCACCTGTGTGTTAAACCCCTTAAGTTACTGGTTTAACGGAACCTGTGTTAAACCTGAGACTAAATCACTGCTAAGCTAATGACCAAGCAACTGCTCGAAAATGTTGAAGTGTGTAGAAGTCAACAACAGTCCACAAAACACACACACAAACCCACAACCAAATACAAAACATTTATTATCCCTATGTTATACCAATAGAGAATCTGTCATAGAAAAATCTGATTCCAGCTAGGAGAACCATATCTTACACAATTTAGACTCAACTGGGCTGAAAAACATTCATCATAAAATCCAAAATACTATAAAAAACAATAACAAAAATAACAAAAACACCACAAAACAACTGTGCTTTTGTCAGTTATGTTTAGTGGTGTAGGGGGTTCTTCTTTAATATTATTACATGGTATTAAATCAAAGCTCTAAGAAATGGGGAGCCATTGAGGAAGAGAGCGCTTCTTAGGAGGGGTTTGATGGAATTATCCAATAGCATACGCTGTAGAAGAGTCTTCAAAAAGGATCCTAAGGCACAGTTTAAACCATACCATCAGTGGATTTGTTGTGTTGTTTAGCTGGTCAAAATGCTCATACTAGGATGGAAGGTAGTTGAACAGGTTATCAGTGACGTGACTATGTGTCTGTTAATTAGTATGTTAGTCCAGAAGAATTCAGCACAGTCATTGAAAACTAGCAAAGCAATCCAATTTGTTCTCCCAACATGTGTAGAACTTAAGGAGGAAAAATGTGGGGTGACTGAACCCTTAAGACCTTCCTTTGATGTAGACAGTGAGTTAACATTTACCTAAACGAGGAAGCTTTATCAGTGCATTTGTGCTTGTCACATAGGTTGAAACATTACATTATTTAAACAATTAGTGTCATGTTTTTATAAAAGAATCAGTCTCAGTGTAGAACCATAGTTAATAAGTTCATAGTATCAATATAATGTGAATTCACACTTTGGATTGGAATGTGTTGTTGCATCATTTGAACACAGAAAGAGGTTTTTGGATATCAGATTCACTGAAACACCCTCACAGTCTCAGGAGTACAATTTCATCTTTCATCTTTTACAACATACTTTACCTCTGTAAAACTGTTTCATATTTAAAAATAAGGAAGGAAAATAAATCCTAACAATATTAAGTCCCAGATCCATCGTTTCCCTTGGGAGTCTTCATTGGTTTGGAAGATGCTTATTCTTATTCTGTCCACAGTTATTTTCTCTCTTCTAAGGTTCTGTCATGTTGTGGCCATAGTGCACAGACAGGAGAAGAACAGCTTTATGTATGCTGTGCCTGTCAGTCTATCTCCAAGTCCATGAGCTTGATGCGAGAGCGTGGTGTGTGTGTAGTGTTTCTACAGCAGCAACGAGCACAGACAAAGCCTAGAATGAGGGAGAAGAGACCCACGGAGAGAGAGGCACATGTCCCGTACAGCAAAGGTAACTTTACTGAATCCCATACTAAAAAAATAAAAAATTAAAATCAGTACCAAAATCAAGACCATTTCACAAGACATTTTGCACTAAACAAAGTATGATCTTACAAATGTTCTTCAGATCGAAAAGATCAACATGGTACATAATAAACAGTAGTGATAAGAATTGTAAGAGTAAGTTTGTGGCAGAGTGCTTGTGTGTCAAGTACACACAAACACACATACAAGTACTCGACCACAAAATTACTCCAAATTCTCATAACTACTATTTAATATGTAATATCAGCCAATCATGTGGCAGAATTGCAGTGCATAAAATGGGCCAGCAGCTTTAGGTAATGTTCACATCATTCACTAGAATGGGGAAATTTTATCAGTGATTTTTGGTGTCAGATGGGATGGTTTGAGTGTTTCTATAACTGTTGATCTCCTTGGATTTTCATGCACAACAGTCTCTTGAATTTATGCAGAATGGTGCAAGAAAGATAAAACAGTGAACAGAAGTTCTGTGGACAGAAACACCTTGTTGACGAGAGGTCAACAGAGAATGGCCAGACTGGTTCAAGCTGACAGAAAGGCTATGGTAACTCACATAACTACTCTGTACAATTGTGTTGAGCAGAAAAACATCTTTGAATGCACAACATGTCAAACTTTGAGGTGGATGGGCTACAACTGCAGAAAACCATGTTAGGTTCCACTTCTGTCAGCCAAGAACAGAAAGCTGAGGCTGCAGTGGGCGCAGGTTCACCAAAACTGTACAGTTGAAGGCTGGAATAATTTAGTCTCCAACAGCAGAATTTGGCACCAACAGCAAATTTGTCACCAGCAGCAAAAATCCATGGACCCAATTTGCCCTGTGGCAACAGTGCAAGCTGGTGGAGGTAGTATAATGTTGTTTTCGTGGCACTTTCTGGGCCCAAAACCACAAAATAATCACCGCTTGAATGCCACTGCCTATTTATGTATTGTTGCTGACCATGTGCACTGACCACAGTTTGCCCATCTTCTAATGGCTACTTCCAGCATGATAATGCACCATGTCACAAAGCAAAAGTTCTCAAACTTGTTTTATGAACATGACAATGAGTTCAGTGTTCTTCAGTGGCCTTCCCAGTCAGTTTTGCAGCATGAAAGTACACCTGAAAAATCTTCAGGAATTGCATGGACCAGAATTTTAAAGGAATGTTTACAGCATCTTGTGGAATCCATGGTATGAAGAATTGAGGCTGTTTTGAGAGCAAAGGGATGCCCTTATTAGTACAGTGTTACAAATGAAGTGCTATATATATATATATATATATATATATATATATATATACACACACACACATATACACACACACACACATATATACACACACACACACACACACACTTTCACACATCCTTCTCTCTAGTCTACACTGACAGGATTTTTCAGGTGTGCTTTCATGCAGCAAATCTCTCATTCTACCACATCCCAAAGGTGTTCTATTGAATTTAGATCCCACATCATTACACCACCTCCACCAGTCTGACCCAAGGCAGGTTAGGTCCATTCATGCTTTTGGCACTAAACACTGACCCTAGCATCTGTGTGCCTCATTAGAAATCAACATTCTTTAGACCTGGCTATATTTTTCCAGTGTTCATCAATCCAGTTTTGGTGAGCTTGTACCCACTGCAGCCTCAGCTTTCTGATTAGATAATTGCAAGAATGAGCAGGTGTACAGGTTTTCCTAATAAAGTGATCAGTAAGTGTGTGGTGTGTGTGTGCACACACACACACACATTGTATACCATATAGGTGCACTTTGTAGTTCTACAATTACAAACTGTGGTCCATCTGTTGCTCTGCATACTTTGTTAGCTCCCTTTTACCCTGTTCTTCAGTTGTCAGGACCTCCACAGGACCACCACTAAGCAGGTTTTATATGGGTGGTGGATCATTCTCAGCACTGCGATGACACTGATATGGTGCTGCCATGTTAGTGTGTGTTGTGCACGTATGAATGGATCAGACACAGCAGTGCTGGAGTTTTTAAACTCCATCATCCAAAAATATCTCGCCAACTATGCAGCAACAGATGAGCTGTTGTCTCTGACTTTACATCTTCAAGGTGGACCAACAAGGTAGGTGAGTCTAATAGAGTAGAAAGGAAGTAAATGGACCCTCATGTCTCTCTTACTTTTCTGGCTGTCCTTCTTAGTTAGGCTGTAATAACCAGACCTGCTGGAGTCACTGCTGCACTCTGTTAACTTTGTACATTGTGATCAGTCACTCTTTACAGAACTAACTCTGTGTGTTTTCCTTTTCTTTGCCCATTTAAACAAAAGCCCATCCTGTGTGGTCTGATGCTGTTGCTTAAAGCTGTAAAGCTGCTTTGTGACGACACCTGCTGTAAAAAGCGCTATACAAATAAGCTTTGACTTGACTTGTTTAAAAACTCCCGCTGCACTGCTGTGTCCGATCCACTGGTACCAGTGCAACACACACTAACACAGCACCACCACATCAGTGTCACTGCGGTGCTGACAACGTGCAATCACCCAAATAATACCAGCTCTGTGGGGTCCTATGGTGGTCCTGACTATGGAAGAACAGGGTGAAAGGGGGCTAACAAGGTATGCAGATAGACAGATGGACTACAGTCTGTAATTGTAGAACTACAACTGCAACTGTGTGGTAAGTGGACCTGATAAAATAAGCAAAGTGTAGATACAAGTAGGTGTACTTATATATGAGAAAATATATATACAAAGATGACTCTAATACTTTTGTGCTTTACTTATCACTAATTTAAGCCTGGCTTAATTTTCTTTGTTACATGACAAATTAAGTGACTAATGAACAACAGGATACTCTAAAAAAATCTTTATCAAGCTAAATGCTAGCTAGTCAGTAGAGAGCAAACAGTTGACTTGTCTTCACTCTCTGCCCACAGTTTTTATGCATTTTCATTCTACCTCAGTGGGTTTTGGTCCAGGAGCTACTGAAGGAAATAGCAAATGTCAAAGAATCGAAACATCAACAATAAAGAAGAAAGGGAAAAAAAAAAAACATTACTCACATGCAAACTTGACATTCAGAAAGATCCGCTTAGATATGAGGTCCGGTTCCTTGCTCCAGACTCTTGATACGCCTGATCGTATCCAAGGCGTGGCAGTGCAGTAGTACTCGCCCGCATCACTGTCCTGGGTCCCATGAATGTTGAGGGTAAATCTTTGGGCTTTCAGGCGCTCCAGACTGCAGTCACTGGAGTCATTACGAGGACTTTTCTTTACCATGCCCCAGCGATCCATACTGGCCAACAGTGTGAGACTGTCTGATCCCCGTAATCGACTCAGATACCACTGTATCTCATATGCCACATCATCTGGATTACGAGAGAGAGATTTATGAAAAAACGTACAGACCAAAAAACATAAATCAGTTATGTTTGCCACCCAACACAACATATTCATTGACGTGGTTTTAACACAAAGCCCCCACCCCCACTGTCAGTATTGATTATTGACAGTAAAACCAGTCAGTTATCAATACTATGAACAATGCTAACTGACTCCACTGGCACTCATCCACCTACTCTAAAAGTGGTTGAGAAGTTTGCGTTACAATAATGATAAAGATTATCAACACAGCCATGGATTTGTTTATAGACAGATGTTTATAGAGCCACTGAGAAGGGACCATGAGAAGGATCACAGCAATTTCTGAGGCAAGGAGGTTCGGAGGTTAATTCTGAGACATGAGTTGATGTGTTTAACTCAAATGTACTAGTCAAATGTTTGTCCAGATCTGATTGATATTTTTCAAGTCAGACATTTACAGACATTTTCATCTAAAGTTCCACTATTGCCACTCTTGGCAAGCACATGAAATTCCACATTAAACATGTGGTTGTCCATATAAACATTCTTCAAAGCATTTCATGTGAAATCATCATCATCATTTGTGGAAATATGTGACAGTAGCATTGCATGTGTTGTTTCTAAAATGCCTGCACATCTTATAACCTTCAGTCTAAAACAGAAAGAAATTAAATGAATAATGGATGAGCTTTTCAAAGAAAAACTTGTTTTTGTTTAGTGTAGGTCCATTCTGATCAGATCAAACATAAAAAGGAAAGGAAATTTAACCGTGTGGAGCCACTAAAATTTAATTTCAAGACTAATGCAACAGTCATGGTATAATTTTGTCAGTACATCCGCACACTATCCCCATCCCCAAGAGAACCTCTTAAGTAAAGTCTGTAAGAGGTCATCAGTCAACTAAAAATAAATTTACAGTAGCTTTAGCAGAAAAACTGGATGTTCCTCAGGATGTTAGAGAGGGAAAATTGTTTCATGGGAATGCACTTTTCCCAAGATGATAATTCTTCACTAACCCTACTTCTCTGTAAGGATTCAGTTGATGAATTCAACTTCAAATTCAACTACACAACAAAACTACAAAAAACGTAGTTTTTTTATTTTCTATAAACTAGATGCAAGTAAATTAGATGGACATAGAAGATAGAATTGGTGTTTGTTATGTGTTCTGCCATTATGTCTTCTGACATTGTCATTGTAAAAAGGTTACTGTACAGGTACAATTTTGCCCCCTAATGTACAAACAGTGTTAATGTACCCTCAAAGTTACAACATGGTCCTTAAGGTCCAATCACATTCACTTTCAAAAAACAAAAAAAATAAATGAAATAAAAAAGCTAGGGTATATGGAGTCAATGCAACATTTAAAATATTAAAAATAATAATACAACCATGTTCTCTAAGTAAAGGTACTGAAAATATATCCTATAGGGTACCACCTTGTGACAGTTTAGTGCATTTTTTTGCCTTGAGAGTTTAGAGAACAATATCAACATTCACACAGAAAAAAGAGGTGACTGCACACAGCTACATGGCTCTCTGGAGTCTTCTATGGAATCAATACATAAAGTACTGTGCAAAAGTCAGAGACCGCTCTTTCATTTATTCAATTTCTATTTAAAATTGCCATAAACTGCACACAAAATAGAAATATGCAAGGCAGCTAATGTATGTTTAGGTAGGTGCTTGTGTGAGGTCTTTTTGAAGGGTAACTTTGTCAGTGACACCTTAAGAACCACATTTTTTTGGGAGGGAACAAAGCTGTGGGTGGATGGGAAGGATGGTAACATTAAAGGTGCACAAAAGTAAAGAGTATAAATACTCATACATTTGATATTGGTTTGTATTGCAGTCTTTTGATTAATTTTCTGCAAAATTTGTTTCCTTCCTATTTTATTATGTTTGAACTATGTTTGATGCTTTTGTAGGCAGACTGCACAGTGTTTTATATTATATATATATATATATATATATATATATATATATATATATATATATATATGTGTGTGTGTGTGTGTGTGTGTGTGTGTGTGTGTGTGTATATATATATATAACACCGTGCAGTCTGCCTACAAATTATGTATGTATGTATGTATGTATGTATGTATGTATAACACCGTGCAGTCTGCCTACAAAAGCCAATAGGTCTACATAGGTCTGGGCTATTTCTATTGGCTAATTCTGTCGATAATTGAGAGACTATAGTTTTGTTTATTTAATTTGCAAGGGCCACAAAGTGCAAGTTCAAACATTATAAAATAGGAAGGAAACTAATTTTGCAGAAAATTAATATATTAATATTAATATTAGTATTTAATTAGTCCACTCTTTACTTTTGTGCACCTTTCTGTCACTTATATATATATATATATATATATATATATATATATATATATATATATATATATATATATAAAAATGCATAAATACATGACATATCAAATTATTCAACAATAACTCCATATAATGCATCCATATAATTTTAATTCATTTTAGTTTCTTTTTCTCTCCAAAACAATCTCAGGCAGTACAACCATCCAACCATACATGCTGATAAACTATCAAAAATGTAATTGTAAAAACCATAACCCTAACCCTAAAACCATGTTGCAGAATAAGGCAACTTTAGAAGTACTTAACTCACTGTCACTTGTCCACAAGTTCTTACTTCTTCAAATGTCAGGCAGCATAACCAAAAACAAAGGACAATTATTTTGACATGCCTTTAAAAAAGAGGGGCCAGGGTATTGCATCATAAAGATGACCCCACGTGAATTGCGTGATGGAATGCCAAGGTCACTAACCCTTTCCCAAACTTTGGAAAAATGTTTTTTAAACATGGTTAGAATGGTTGGTCAGGTGGTAAGACCTCAGGAAAACCATGGAAATGTATAATATTATAATATTATAATATTTATTTAAATTTATTATTAAAAGTATTAAAAATTCAAGGACTAATGTTTCCATGCATGTTTAATTTTGAATTTGTCTGAAAATTCAGGTGGCACAACCAGTAAGTTCATGTAGCGTAACCAGTACAGTTTAATAACTGAAACAGACAATTAAAAGCTTTACTATATTTAAGATATCAAATGCACACAGATATAAATGCAAATATATATGGAGATATACGAAATGCATATCATGTAAAATTGTACATTTTTAAAACCTTATTTTTCTTTGACCCATGTATATATGTAACTTTTTAAACATATTTTTAACTTTTACTGTGATTTAATGTCATGAGATTTTATTCCAAGTAAATTTGGACCACTTCTATTGGTCCTATCATCATGAAATGTTAACAAAAGTAAATGTGTTTTCAAATGATGTAAAGAACAGCAAAATGAGGCTTTAATAAGACAGCGAATATATGTTTGCCACCCTTACTGGTGCCCTTGCATTTAGTGCTTTGTGCACTCTCCCGTTGTCAAGATAACAGTATTGGATCTTCTCTTATAATGCCAGATGAGATACAAAAAAGCATATAAAAACATCACTCCTCCATAAAATCTCTCACTTGTGTGCTTGTGCAAACTTGTTTACAAGGTTGCGTACTTCCACTAATATATGTTTGTCAGCTATTACAGACAAGTGTCATATGTATTTCCACACTGCCACAATACATTAGTTGCATAACTGTCATATAGTGACTCAGTCATAATGAATCTTTGTAGGTTATTGCCACACAATAGATGTTCCATATCAGATTAAGTGATTACTCACATTTCCTATGTAGCTTCCTAATTACCTTCTCTAAGAAAAAGAGAATGCATTGTTCATTAATTTTCCCTTCTTCTCCCTTATGTGCTCCAAACACAAAAGAAAGGAAATTTTTGCAGCAGTAAGAACATGCCTTATCTCTCTCTAAAGATGAAGACCCCTCAATACCCCTCAATACTCAGTAATACTGTTAACTGTATTACTGAGTCATGTTTTATACTCTCTCTGTTGTAAAAAGATGCTAAAAAAAAAAGGTAAAGTAACATAACTAAAAAAGACGTTCAAGAAACGGGGGGTCTTTGATCAGGAAATATTAGATGCAACAAATAGACAGGGGTGCCGTATGGGGGAGGAAGTTCAATTCTATTCTACTTTTCCTATCATCAACTTTTCCTTAACCTATCATCACTGTTTTATTTTCAGGGTTGGAGTGGCCTGTGGTGCTGGGTTGTGGGGCCCAATGTAATATATTTTCATGGGGCCCAAAAAACCCTCGTGGCGCCTCTGGAGAGAGACATATGTTGACCTTCATTGTTTGGAGAGGCACCTGCCTATTTTATGCTAGTCACACCTTAGGGAGGTGCCTGCCATAAAGTGTGCAATAAATCAACTGAAGGTTTCTCAAACTAATTTTAGTTACTTATATGTGAGACATTGTATGTTATGTTCAGCTGGGAATGTTTGAAGCTAGTCAAGACTAGCATTGCAATGTTGTATTATATTTAGATTTTATTATCAGTTACTCAGTATATGACAGATACTAAGTTATTCAGGAAATTTGCTTACAGTCTTACAAATAAAAAAGTAGTGCAAGTGCAATTCTATTCTACTTTTCAATGTTTTCACAGATAATCGGGAAAATATGGGCATCTTAGTTATTGATCCAAACACACACATACAGGTGCTACTATTATTACATATACATTTACAGCATTTGGCAGACGCTCTTATCCAGAGCAACTTACAATTTGATCATTTCACACAGGTAGGCAAAGGTAGTGTTAGGAGTCTTGCCCAAGGACTCTTATTGGTATAGTGTATAGGATAGACTTAACTTTTATTACTGTTACTATTACAAAAATCAAATTCCAGGTCTAATTGTGAACCTCCTGTTTTTGGCCATCATGTACAATCTCCCCAGCGAGGGGTTATGTGGACAATACAACTCTGCTTGACAGTGTAGAGGCTGTCTGGGTCTGTGAGGTTATGATGTAGTAACAACAGAATGAAGGAGAGGTTTATATATTACAGAAAAGCCCTCCATATATCTGAATATAGCCAACTGAAGTGGGAAACCTCAGACAAGCAACTTATCATTTAAAACATTTATGAGCACAAAGCCTATAAATCCCATTACATTCAAATACTGACACAATTGTTGCAACCATCATGCAGTTCCTTCCCCACAAACCCATTTCAGTCATATCAGATGAACCAAAGTGTTTAAAGGTTAAAGCATATTTTCTACCATCCTACAGTTAAATAATTAGGTGCATTTAATCACCAGGTACACTTAATCAGACTGCTATCTAATAGGCTGTTTTATCTTTTGCAGTCTATACTAAGTTTAACTCGAGTGTAACATGGAAAGAAGTAGAAAGGTTGAATCTGTTTATTAGAATCTGGGCTTATATCAACAGAAAACAGAGCAGGCAGATGTCAAGGGTATAGGACAGGTGTCAGAAACCCAAATGTTTAGAAGAGCCATTCTGTCCTTTCAACAAAAATTTAACCACCTTGGGAGCCACAACATTTTATATCCATTTTACCATCTTGGTTGTAAAACCCCTTTTTCAAAAAAGTTGGGACGCTGTGCAGAATGTAAATAAAAATAGAATAGTGATGTGCAAATCATGTAAACCAGATTTTAAAGGAAAATACTACAAAGACAATATATCAATTATTGACACTAAGAAATTTTTATTGTGTTTTGAAAAATATATGCCCATTTTGAATTTGATGCTAACAACACATTCCAAAAAAAGTTGTGACAGGGACATGTTTACCACTGTGTTTCATCACCTCTTATTTTAACAACACTCTATAAGTGTTTGGGAACTGAAGAGACCAACTGCTGTAGTTTTAAAAGTGAAATGTTTTCCCATTCTTGTTTTATATAGGATTTCAGCAGCTCAACAGTTCGGGGTCTCTTTTGTCGTATTTTTAATTTAATAATGTGCCAAATTTCATCAGTGGGTGACAGGTCTGGACTGCAGCCATGCCAGTTTAGCACCCAGACTCTTTTACTACGGAGCAATGCTGTTGTAATACATGCAGAATGTGGTTTTACATTGTCTTGCTGAAATAAGCAAGGCCTTCCCTGAAAAAGATGATGTCTGCATAGCAGCATATGTTGCCAAAACATGCATATATCATTCAGCGTTAATGGTGCAGATGCACATCACTCATGCCATGTGCACTAATGCACCGCTATACCATCATGAATACTGGCTTTTGAATTGTACACTGATAACAAGCTGAGTGGTGTTTAGGATGCAGTGTCCATGATTTCCAAAAAAAATTCAAATGTTGATTTGTTGGACCACAGGACACTTTTCCACTTCCCCTCAGTCCATTTTAAATGAGCTCGGCCCAGAGAAGGCCACAGCGTTTCTGGATTGTTTTTGAATCCTTTTTGAATGTTTGTGTTTTAGAGTTTTAACTTGCATTTGTGGATGCAGCGACAAACTGTTTTTATAGACAGTGGTTTTCAGAAGTGAGCCCATGCAATGATTTTCACTGCAGAATCGTATCTATTTTTAATGCAGTGCTGCCTAAGGGCCCAAAGACCATGGCCAGCAAATACTGGTTTTTGGCCTTGTCCCTTGCAAACAAAGATTTCTCTGGTTTCTCTGAATCTTTAAATGATATTATATACCGTAGATGATGAAAGGCAAAAGTTCTTTGCTATTTTATGTTGAGAAATGTTATTCTTGAATTGTTGCACTATTTGATCGTGCAGTCTTTCACAGAGTGGTGAACGCCCCCCCTCATCTTTGCTTCTGAAAGACTCTCTCTGGGATGCTCTTTTAGACCCAATCATGTTACTGACCTGTTGGAAATCAATCAACCAGGTGTTTTTTTTTTAGCATTACACAACTTTACAAATTTTCGGCATCAAATTCAAAATGGGAATATTAAAACCAAAAAAAAAACCAAAAAAAAAAAAACAATAAAATTTCTCAGTTTTCACATTTGATATGTTGTCTTTGTACTATTTTGAATTAAATATAGGGTTTAAATTATTTGCACATCATTAGCTTTAGATCAGCTATAGCTGCTTTTTCTCTGGCAGAAAACATCTCCGCAAAAGTAGAAAAGTTTCTAGTAAAATGTCTCTCAACATTCGACTTTTTATGAGGCTGAAGTCAGCTTCTCATTCGCCAGCTTCTTGTTCAATTTTACCGTTCTTCCTTAAATGGTGCCTGAGGCGCCAGAATGTAACTGCTGCACAATTTAATGAGGAACGGGAAAATTAGAACGAAAAGCTGACTTTGGCCCAATCCCATTTCACCCCTTGTCCCTACCACTTGGCCCTTAGCCCTCTGTTTTGCACGTTCACGTCTAGGGTTAGGGTGTCCCAATTTTTGTTGAGATAGAGGGGTAGGGCGAAGCGTTAGGGCTACAAACGGAGTGTTATCAGAAAAAAAAGAAAAACCAGCAAGATGGCTGCGCGAGCGACCAAAGAAACCCACAAATGTGAGTATTTTCTCCATTAAAAATTACACTAACCATTGTATTATCTTTAGTTTAATGTTGTTGCAATGTATTATGGTCATTTTCTTCATAACAAGCATAAAAAATCGCTAATAGCATGCTAATGTTTCAGTAGTTAGCTAGCTAACTTTCCCATTCCACCTTAAATAGTCCAGCAGTATTGACGCCTGAAGCGCCAGAATGTAACTGCTTCAGCTTCATATCATCAAAGATTTAGCGGTGGGCGCTAATAAATAATTGTCTTATACCCGCTCTTTGAAGGCATATGATGCCCTAAATGTAACTAAAGCTCAGCAGTGAGGTTGCTGAACTTTTCCCTTCTCTGCTATCACTGAAGACAGGCCGGGTCGCCTACAGAGCACTGCTAGTAGCCTTTTAATGAAGGAATGCTAATTTGAGGGTTGTCCCATTTCGTACAGCAAGATTTCAACCACTACCCCTTGTAACTCAGTTCCAAGGGGTTAGTTAGAGTGACACTCGAAAACAAGGGGTAGGGGTAAAAAGAAGAAATGGGATTGGGCCTTTAGCTTTGCAACTTTAGTGTTTGACAGTTTCTCTTTGTAAATTAAACATATCAGTAAACCAGCTGGAGTGCTTATAAAATGCAAATAAGTCCACTACTGGATAAGGTTACAATCGAAACACAGGTGGACAAGAGACTGGGGTCCCATTTCAATGCTACTTTTTAACATGCCCTCGCCAACTGCTACTCATCCTATTAAGATGTTAGTTTGTTGACTTGCAAGCTAGCAGAGTAATGTAAAATCGTATCAGCTGTTATGTGTAACAGACAACAACAACAACTACTACTACTACTACTACTACTACTACTACTAATAATAATTATAATGTTTTATTTAGATAGTGCCTTTACAAAGCTCAAGGTCACTTTACAGAGCATCAAAGCAGGCATGGAGATGGTGTAGTTTCTAAGATCCCAGTTTGAACACAGCAAATCGAATGTTATAGTTGTTAAATATAAAGCATTTTGAAGTATTTCATAGCTATTGCTTGCTGCAGCTTTGTCTGCCATTTTTGGGGGTTTTGAAAAGGGACGTGATGGCAATGATTTCTGGGCAAATTTTGGTGCCGAAATCAACACTTGTGTTGATTTAATCCTTGGCTCCTGGATTGGCTACTCAAAATGAATAGTGGGTTTAATGTGTAGTGATTGAACTTAAAATTATCCAGTCTTTTTCATAGAAACAAATATGCCTTACCTGTGTTGGGAGATGTTCCTGATAGACTCACTATACACTCCATCTTAACTGTTTCCCAGGGGTAAACGCTGCTGGTGTCTGAACTGATAGATAGCTCGAAAGATGGCCCTACAGAGAATAAGAATGTAAAACAGTGATTAAGGATGGACTTTTTAAATTCTTTCGTCTGTCTGGAAACACCATCAGAACAAGCAAATAAGTAAAAAACTTGTTTAACAAGTATGGAACATCTTGTGCAGACAATCTATCTCAAACAATCTTTCCTCCACATTGTTTCACAAACAAATTCCTGATTCAAGAATTCCTAAATTGCTGAGTTCACTACCAATGGGGTAAAGGCATAAGCATAACAACAGAACACAGGTTTCAGTGCCATTTTGAACTAGTTTAAACTAGCTTTTCCAAAGTGCAGAGATTTATGTATGATCAAAAGCCATGATTCTTGAACTAAATATCCTTTCCAGACTAATTTAATTCATTTGCCCTACCTTAAACTATACAAATATAGAACAGGCATCCGTTTCTGACAAATGTCACACATTAAGTAAAACAACTAAATATGTCCCTACTTAAGAATGTCTCTAGAGATGGTATGAATTTTTGCATACCAATACTGATGCTGAAAGCTTGAGTGCTGGCCAATACCAATACCAATCTGAAAATTACTTTAAAGCTTAAATTGTGTGTTCTTAATTGAAGCACTTCATTTAAGATGTATAGCTAAAAGTAGGTTATCATGGTTAAACTACTTAAACACTCTACTACCTTACAGGAAAAAATACACAGCTATTTCATGCTAGGTTTAGTACAAAATCAGATCAGATTAATTCTTTTTTCCCCCCTCATGCAACCAATTTCATGAAAGTCTGGGGAAAAGACAGACAATTTGAAGTTTGGATTTTGAAGATGATTGCCATTAGTGGCCTGAGAGCTCAAAAATATCAATATGCACTCCCGAATCCTGCTGTTACACTTTTTACAAGCTTTAAGCTGACACAAAACAAGATTGTAACACATTTCAACAAGCACACAAAGATAATCAAGGTTCTTTTAAAACACTTTAATATACAATTCACCGCTCTCTTTTGGCACTAGTTCCTCATAGTAGCACCTCCTGGTTGATTAGAGATTTCTTCAGCCTTATGTAAGAATACATGCCAACTCATGTGAACGTAAATGACAGTAAAAATGCTTTGTGAGATCAGTCTCAAACACACATAATGGAATATGACACTATTAAATGTCGGTACATTTAACCATTATTTTCACAGAAAACAACCTTCATGACAATAATCCTCACAGCACCTGGTAAAGGGCACCTTTTCCATCCTTTATTTTTTATAAATCAAAGTGTAAAGTGATGGATAAAGGCTAAATTCTATCAAAGGTAAAGCATGGCTTCAAAATTAGAAAGACAGCAGTAAATTATACTGCATACTCATTACAAGTGTTATCCTGCTATGTCCTTTGAAATCATTATACCCTCATATTTATGTGAATGTGTGGTCTACACACAATATTCATGGAGCTACATAATTATAGAAGCTAATTAATTATAGCCACAATAGAACAGAACAACAGAACTTTCTTAACCTCTTATTATTCAACAAGTGATAATAGGAACAACACTCTAACCTCTTATTTCAGCAAAATAGGAAAATTGCATAAAGTGGTTCTGCCTTCACTCAGGCTCAAACATATAGTTTGTAGTTTATACAAACTACATAGCAAACCCACAAAATAGTAAATATCTACTTTGATGTCAGTCAAGGTGGTTTCAAGGATTTGTGTATTAAGCTCTTACTTGTGTGATCAAAGGTAAGCAAAACCTTATTCGAGTCTCCTTTCGCCACCTCTGCCCACTCGTTCCTATCCTGTCTCATCCACACACCAACTTCACATGAGTAGAATCCTTTATCTGTTAACTGCACGCCCTGTATCCGGAATCGGAACTCCTCTCTGCCAGTCTTCAACAAACTTAGACTATCCTTTCGACTGGATTCCTGCCAATCTTCTAATTTGAGAATAAGGTCAGGGTTGAGGGAAGCGAGTTTGCGACAGGGAGCACCAATGCTTTCCTGGACCAATATAAGGACAGAAAGGGATATGCCCGCCTGGAGGTTCTTGAGTCTAGCCTGGCAGGCCATCTCAAAGGTGGAGCCAGTAGAAGTTGCTGGTCGCACAATACGAGCTGCGACACTGACTCCAGGCCCTGGAGAGAGAGAGGAAGAGACTGTGAGGAGGAAGGAGACTTTCAGAGTAGGTGGTGGGGTTGGGGGTTAAAATTAAAGTGTACTGTAAATAGAAAGTTAAACTAATTTATAGACACATTAGTCTTGGTTCTATGGACATTGATGTGTAGTCTTGGCAAACTGTTCAATTAAAGATCATATCAAAACCTTGCAACTCCATCTTTTTCATTCTTTATTTTGTTGTGAATGTGACTGGGTGGCATAAATATTGCAACTAATGCATCAAATGGAAGCAATGTTTTGTTTCAGGACAAATTAAATTGTAGACCAATGTCGATACTAAATGATTCAAATTCTTTACATGCAATTTAATTATGAAAATGAGGACTCACCTTTGGAAGCCAAGCTGACTGTCAGTGCATGAGATTGATGTTCTGATGACTTTTTCCAGTTTCCATGATGAGTGGGTGCCCATGTCATAACACTGCAAGCATATTCACCTGCATCTGTGTTTGCAGTATGGAGGAGGCGGAGCTTAAAGGTGGGTGGCTCCATATGGGTCACGACGATAAGTCCTGAGTCAATGCGGCTCCTGTATTTCTCACTGGGAACAAGAGCCCCATTTTCATTCAGGGAAGCGATGATGTCAGTGGTCCTCTGGCCATTAGAAGGTGAGGCTGCTGAGTAGAACCAGGAGACACCCAGTCGTTCACACCGGAAGAGAGAGATGTTGGTCACTTGACACACAAGCTCTGTTGGATCGCCTAAGTACTGCGCTACAACTGGAGAATCAAGAGCCACAGTGAACGCTGGATCTAACAAAGACAAACAAAAAGGCATTAAAGATAAACAATTGCTTTTGGTTTAAAGGAATAAACACAGTTATTCAAACAATTCAGTTTTTGGGGTACCCCATGTACTACTGGAAAATGTTTAACCTGAATGTCAGGGAGTTAAAAAAACACTAGAATTTATAGAACATTTAAAGGTTCAACATTATACAGGTGCCAGTGTATTAGTGACATCTACCTTGTACCTGCAGTCCCTGGCTAATGTAACACACACACCTTCCATAAACTTTGTAGGTTAACAAATACAGATTATTGCTACACAGTTTGTCATTCACCCTCTAACCCACCCATTTTCATTTTCCTTTTTGGCACATGGTCTTATCCAGAGCAACCTCCTTAAGTTAATCATGTTACAGAAGAAGGCAAATATAGTCTTACTGGCATAGCTTGGCGTGCTAGCCAGGGCAGGAAATTAAACTCCAGTCTGCTGCTTAGAGGGCAGGGGAATCACTCATTACACAACCCCAACCAAGCTGGAATGGTTATTGGAAAGGGGCCACCACAGGACCACTGCTGACCAGATATTATTTAATGGTAGACCATTTTCAGCACAGCATGACACCAACATGATAGTGGTGTAGCAGAGTATTGGTGTGGTGCTAGTATGAATGTTTCAGCAGCTGATACACTCATACTAGCATGTATGAGTGTATCAGCAGTGTTGCTGAGTTTATAAACACTGTGTCTACTTATTGACCACTTCATTAGACACATTTATCTTGTTGGCACAGCTTGTGACGATATTAGGTAGATGTACCTCGTAAAACAGCAATTAAATGTATGCCATTTGCACAACAGTGTCAGGTGCTTGTAGAAGTGGGGCCAAGATGCATGGTTGGAGGTGAAAGCTCTGTGAAGCTGCTCTCACTGTCAGCCATTTCCTTGCACAACTGGGGGCCTGCACGCATGGCAGAGCAGTGCTGGCATAAACCACACAAAAGCTCTCTCACACTCATTTGCAAGATGCCATTAAAACACACACACACAGACACATCACAAATCTAAACAAAGATAACACTAGACATGCTATGTTCACTCTCAGAGTGCTAAAAGAGAGGCAAAAAGTGGAAAACAGAGTGCATAAGAATGCCAAACACACATACAATTGAATGTGCTTCACTAAGCCCCATGTGTAGTGGTGGGTTTGCGATAGGCTTTTGGATATCATTGCAAGTGAGTCATTAGAACCATCTGCCTAGTATAGCTCCAAACCTCCCTACTTCCTACTCTTCTTAAAACCCTTTTTCCATAATTTTCATTGCCAGAGTGAGCTGAAGACAGATAGTAGAGAGTAGAAAGCACTCTGAAAAATTGGGGCAAAACACAAAGAATCCAAGATTAAGTTAGTTAGGAGTAGTGTAACATTTAAATTGATTATTGTGGAAAATGAATATTGTAAAATGTTTGCAAACAGAATATGAAAGCAAACTACGGAGGTATGTACACAATCTAATGGTTCTGCATAGACAATGCCAAATGAAAGAACAGATGGGTCACATAACTCATTTCTTTAGCTTGGCAAATAGGACAGACAAGATGAATGCCCCTCGGCTGCCTTTTATAGCAAGTTGCTGGGGACAAGAATGAAGTACCCTGGGAACTGAACAAGAGGCAAAGGCAAAGGGGTGTCTAAGATTGAGAGTCAGTCAAGATCAGATGGTCTCTCCACACCAGACACTCAATCCACATTATCAGACACTTAGGCTTTGTATCACAGACCGTCTATCTCTCACTTATTCTGCTACTGTCTTTTTTCCTTTTTCCTCTCTCTCTCCCCCCCATTTCCACATTCTTTTGCTTTTCTGCTGCACACCTGTGCAAAACGCCTCATAAAAATAAAGGCTGTTAAAATGGTTTTTGGCTAATATGGTTCTAGAAGAAAACTTAACTTACTTAACATTGAAATCGTTTACACATACATCTTGTTTACAAAATCACGCTAAAGTATTTTAGGCACTTTTTTAAAGCTTGTATATGCTTAACCTCTGCTCCTCTTGTAATAATCACTGACTGACTAATTATTTATCACACACTCTGAGTACTGTCATAAAAAAAGACCTAGCCCTTAAAACACTATAGATATAATCAGCTGTCCTTAATGGTCTGCTGAGGCTTGAGCACACTGCTAAAAACTGCTACTATGGTCAAACCTTTTTTTGACAATGACATTATTAAAGTTTGTTTTTGGCTTTGGATGGGTGGAAAACCACATACTCTACTGGGCACAGGATCTCACTGTTACTTGTTCTCCCAGTATATCTTTTGAGTGTAGCTGGAGTTTAAAATTCAAACACTGGCATGAAATGAAAACAAACTGAAGGCTTGAGACAATGGTGAACATCAAAAGTTGTTAAGCAACAATTAATGGTCTGGGAAAATAAGATGATAAAGATTTGATTGGCCATAATACAGCACTCATAGAAAACAAATTAAATTTCATTATCTCAAAAAATGCAGTTTAATAAATATTCTGTTGATTTGGTGGGTCTGTGATCGATCATTGCAGTGTTTTGGTCCTTGCAGGCAATAGAGATAGAACAGTGTCACCACTTTGGCTAATTTAGACTTGTACTTTAATAGCTGCAAACAATGAACAAAAAAGACGATGGAATTGTATGGCATCATTAGCTAAAATCTTATTATCATGGCACACCCATTATGGATAAATTTTTTCTTCCTCTGGTCTGTCACTTAGCCTGGGTCTGTACATGTCACAATACACAAATGTCTACCCTTTCTTTCACCTCTTAGCTTTGCCATACATTACACTATAGTGGTCTCAAAGTATAGCCCCTATGTCTGTCCTTGAGAAAGCATTCATTCCCACAAGACAGGGGTTTGGTTTTGCCTTTTCAGGATGTTGGAAACAATGTCTAGCAAACTACTTTGGACTTCAACTTCCTATAAGGTTAAATTCCTTATATGTTGCCTTGAATCCTGTAGGCTGCTCTGTTCATGCAATAAACTTGCTTTGTGGTAAAATCCACTAAACACAGACTGTATTTTTTTAAGGAATCTCAGGCTTAACATCAACTGTAGTGACACTCGTTTGGACTTTCTGGTTATGAGGGTAAGTACTGAAGGAAATCATGTCAGAGAAGCTATAGGTACAAGACCCATTTCCCCTGGCAACTTCTAACCCTGAAATCTAACCGTGACTGCTAGTTAATCACTCAGTTCACTCTCTGTTCGTATGCAATGTCCTTTGATCATATTGCAAGCACAGTTCTACTGACCTTTCGGGTTAACCAGCACCTCTACAGGGGTTGATCTTTTCTCTGTAGCCTGGTACCATTTTCCCTTGCTGTGTTGCACCCAGGCCCTCACCCTGCATGAGTAGAATCCCATATCAGATAGCTCAACTCTTTGAATCTCCAGTCTGAAAACGCCTTCTCCAACCTGGGTTATGCCCAATACATTTGAGCTTTTTGCCACTATGCCATCTCGACCAAGATGGGTAAGAACCTGTGTGGCGTTTAGTAGCCAAGTCACCTCGAGACCTAGGACAGCATAGTCATCTGCAGAAACCAAGCAGGTAAGGTTCAGAGTGTCTCCTATGGTGAGGAAGGTGTTGCCCAGGACTTGCACAGTGAGGGATTCAGCTGAAATCAAACAATAAAGGGGAAATGGTTTAGCATTGCTGTTATTGCATCAGTAATACGTAATGAAAAAAAATATGCACTTTTACTTATTCACTAAAGAGAATTGCCTTCATGCAATGTTGTTTTTTTACATTATTATTAAATTATATTATGTTGAAAAGTTTAGAATATTTCTAGAGAATTTCTCCACTTATAATAAACAAAAAAGATACACACACATACATATATATATATATATATATATATATAGTCCTTGAACCTCTATTCTTACAGGAAGGTTTCTAAATTAAATTAATTCATAAAATTCTAAAATTTTCAGCTTGAAATTCCAAATTGCCTCTGGATTCAACATCAGCAAAAGAACTATGCATTGGGAGCTTCTTTAAAGGGGTTTCCATGGTCTAGCAGCTGCACATCTTTGGGATGAATTGGAGCGTTGACTGCAGTCCCGACCTCCTCACCCGACATCAGTGCCTGAAGCTCACAAATTTTTGGTATGTGGAGGGGTAACTCCATATTAATGCACATGGATTTGGAATGGAATGTCTAATAACTCATATGGGTGTCCACATACTTTTGGCCATATAATGTGTATATATGCAGGTATAAAATAATAAAAACAGTAATAATCTCACTTCAGTAGAGTAGGAAATGAGACCTCACAGATACCATTTATTACATATTTTGGATTAATATTGTAAATCCTGAACATATTTTACTGCAAATTTACTGTTAGCACACATTAACAGTGGAGAAAGTGGCCCATGCTATCTCAGTCTCAGAGGGGTTTGTGGCCTTTTAGAGATGTGACACTTCAATATATGTCCAGTTTTAATTAAATTCTGTAGCATCGCTCACAGCCTACATGGTAACCTGGGATGTCCTTGGTAACGTAAACTCAAATACTCAGGTCTGTAAGAAGAGTCACAGACACTTAGCAAACAGTACAAAAAAGAAAAAAAGGAAACAGACACTGCTCTCAGAAGCTGTAGACATTAGCATTTACATATTGTATTGCATCATTCTAAATACTGTAGAATAATTAAATACTTGTATTATTTAATATTGATTTACGTTATTTTTTGCTGTACTTGCAATAACTAGGGCTTCACAATATGAAGATAAAATGCAGTGTTCAAAAGTGGTTGGATATTGTGATGATGGTATGAGAAGTAATAAATTATTATTAAAATAGCTTGTCTGACTGGGTATGCAACAAGCACAAAAATTAATAAATAGATGGTTTTCAAAAATGACTAAATATATAGATTTTTTTTCTTGTCATTCATCACCATGATAGTAGTTTTTGAGTTGAGTTGTTTTACTTAACCACTACAGCAGAGTGGTTATTATATCGTTTGCTGTACATGTGGGTGACAGGGTTTCGAGCCTGACTCAGGAGAGTATGCCCCTGCTCTAATATATTAGTCACGGCTCCTAACGCTACATTCCCACAAATCTGGTAACATAATTATCATACTTTGCATGTTATGTCATTCGATCCGTTCTGTCATCATTCTGTATTTGCAATCAACAATGTGTTCATCACATTGAAGGGTAATGAGAGAGTTTGATGGGACAAAATTTCTACAAGAGACCTAAAGACTGTAATGGCAACGCAATTAATTATTGGTCTAACTTCTAAAAGAAATTTGACTGCTGAAAATGAAAAGTATTTTACTTTTTGATGAACTCCGTTTAACTTTTACCACACACAAACACAAAAGTTTAATAGAAAGTCTAAAAAGTGAAGTAAATGTAGCAGATAAGGCAAGAGAATTAAATAAACAGAGAATCGCAAAAAAAAAGCATTGCAAACTATCACACCAAGTAACAAATGGAATGAGCAAAGGAGATGAGATGCACACTTAAGCTGGGTGTAAGCAGTGTATGTATTTAGGGATGCATGATATTGTAATTATATCAACAGACATTTGTTTTTTTCAAACTAATATTTAATGAGTATTTATTGTGCTCCAGAATTATGGAAACAAAAGTGGTTCTTCTATGACATTGCTCGAGGAACTTTTTCTGGCACATTTCCTGTATAAATAAAACAAATAACAGGGATTGCATATGCTAATTTTACCAATACTAAAATCATTTAATAAATGGTAAAAACAAACAATAATAAAATAAAAATGTGACAGAATCAATGGCAAAGAAGAAGCACTTTTGGTTTCCTAAAGAATCTTTTAGTGTAACCATTTTTGTGAATGAGATGTGGGAGCGTAATGAGCCTTTGTGACGTAAAGTACATTATGTACATAAAGTAAATACTGTAAAGGTTCTATAGCTATAATGTTTTTTTGTTTTTTTTTTAATGAGAACTGTATGTCCAAGGAAACTATTCCTAAAGGGACTATTTAGAGTGTAAACCCTATCCACATACAAACATACCCATACACATACACTGAAAGCTACTCTGCAATCCATCCTCACCTGTTGGGACAACAGCCACTCGACCCATGACTGCTGTCTTTTCCTGTATCCTGTTCCAGACACCCTGTTCTCTGGTCCACTGTCTGGCAGCACACACATACACTCCCTCATCAGCAGGCACTGCTCCAGAGAGCACCAGGCTGTAGGAGCCCCTACTGTCCAGATGCAGATGCATTCCACCATCCACATACCGCAGAGTGAAATTCAAACCAACAGTTACTCCCACATCAGGTCCAAAGGTAAAGATATCCTCTTCTAGTGACTGCTCCTTTTTAATAGACCAGGTAATTGACAGGTAAATTCCCTCAATGAAGTCATAGGATATGTTGCAGCGCAGACTGATGGATCTGCCCTCGGTGACCGAGGAGACTGGAGCTTCAGGGACCAAGACCAGCGTATCAGGAATTACTACAAGCAAACAATAACAAGGAAGTGTGTTCAGGACATTTTTGGCACAGGTGCTGAATAGTACTGACAAATTTATGTTCATGGACAAAAATACACGTGTGGACACAAAAATACACAGGCACATGTTTAGTGGCAGTAATATTTTCACACATAAACAGGAAAATCTTACTGCCAAAGTGTATTAAAGGTCAGTACTAAGCATATTATAAATTGCATATGTAGCAAAATCAGTTTAAATAAACGTAGTGAAATCCAGAGAGGACAATAAAGTCTTGCATAAAATTATTATAAAATTATTTCCTTAAGATGATTTCTCAAGGCTTAGGTTTACTGTACATGCATGGGTAATTTCTAAGGAAATTTAATATGTATGTTGCATAAAACATTTTTATATGCTTTATGAAGAACTTAAGGAAATAATTTGAGAAAACACTTAAGTTGGAGCTTAGGGTCTTTTTAATGCAATAACTTTAAAAGAATGAAAGGACCAATAAAGGACTGCATTTGCATTGCTGACAAAGAATGATTTTTTCTGATTAAATACTGAGACCAGTGTACCTTTATTTTACATACAGTCATATGCAAAAGTTTGGGTACCTCTAGTCAAATTACTTTGTGTTATTTTGTTTGTAAATGCACATGTATAGATAGCTTATTATACAAAACCATAGTTCTTGCTTTAAGTGCACTTTGTCTGGTAGAATAGAGCTCCCCATACTCTCTGTATCTTGCAACAAATGAAAACACTGTATTGCTGCCAAGCTTGGCTAAACTTCATTGTACCTGCTTATTCATCTTATACTCATCTAAAGGTCAATACCTACTTGACCAGCATTAACCATTCAGAAAGTCATGGATAAAAACTGTTTCAAGTGAGAATTTATACTTAAAATTGCTAAAAGTATACAAATTTTTAATTAAGATGTGGAAAAAATATGTCTGGTTCAAGGGAACTTTTGTCAGCATTCGTGCCCACATTACAAAGGAAATTACATTTTATGACATCAGATTATTTAACTTAGTCATGGCCTGCAAAGTGATATCTCTGGTAATGGGTAGTGTGGTTGTAAGAGAAATCTAATGTGAGCTATGTACTAATAGTAATTTTTATTATTTGCTTTATGTTTAATCATGATGGAAGTATGATCATTTTTGCTGCGATATTTTGTAAATAAGCACAACTGAAGAATGTAGCTTTCTTGGCATATACATACCTAGTCACCTCTGAATCACAGTATCTAATGGCTAAATCATTACTACTGTGTTCATAAAGGTCTACTCACATAGACCATGTACTGTGGAAAGCATTGCATAACCTCTTTGCTCTTTTCATTATGACAATAAGGTTTTTTTTCCTCCCTGGCATTCAAGTCCTGTGAAATCCACATGTAATGTTTATAGTCAGAGAATGCAGGAAATAACTGCATTTTCAAAATAAAATAATACCAAAAAAATCTGGGACACTATGTGACACACAAATAAAAAACAGAAAGCGGTGATTTGTAGATACACTTTGACCAGTATTTAAAAGACATAACAAAATAATTAAATGTTAAAATAATTGCTTATCAACTTATTATTTTTTGTATATATATGCTCATTTTGAAACTGATGCCAAATATACGTTCCAAAAAGCTGGGAAGGGGTAATTTAAGACTATGAACATTGTTAAATGTTCAGAAAATATTTTACAAATCCCGTTTCCAAAAAAGTTGTGCAAAAGTGCAAAAACAATAATCTGTGATTTGTTAATTCTCTTAAACCTTTATCTAATTAACAAAAAGACAAAAAAATACTTTTAAATGTTTTGGCTGACCAACTTGATTTAATAATTTAATTTGATATAAACAAATTTAGAATTTGATGCCCACAACACCCTCAAAAAAGCTGAGACAGGAGCAAAATAAGAGTGAAAAGTTTATAGAACCAAGCAAAGATGGGTTGTGGCTTATCTGTTTATGCCAAACTTCATAAGAAAATAGTCAAACAGTTCAAAAAGAACACTTCTCAATGCAAAATTGAAAAGAATTCAGGTCTTTCACCATGTACTGTGTATAATATTGTGAAAAGATTCAGGAAATCCAGAGAAATCTCAGTCAGTGTAGGGCAAGGCCAGAAACCTCTGGTGATTGTGTGTGACCTTCAAGCCCTCAGACAGCATTGCATGAGAAACTGTCAGAATATTGTGTCAAATATAGGCTTGGGCGTGGGAGTACTTTGGAAAACCATTGTCACTGAACACAGTCCGCTGCAGCATTAAGAAATGTAACTTGAACTTAGGTAACTTCGGTAAGCAGAAAGCCATACATCAATTCTGTGCAGAAACACTACTGACCTCTCTGGGTCCAAGCACCGAAAGACAGTGGAAATATGTGCTGTGGTCAGATGAGTCTATGTTTCAGCTTGTTTTTGGAGAAAACAAACTTTGAGCTCTCCATGTCAAAGACGAAAGGAACCATCCTGACTTCTAGCAGTGGGAAAGGGTTATTTCAGCAAGACAATGCCAGGCCTCATTTTGCAAATGCTATAACAGCATGGCTTCATAGACACAGAGTGTGTGTGCTTGACTGGCTTGCAGTCTGGAAAACTTTTCTTTGTACTTTTTTCAGTTAAATAAAATTTCAAGAGAATTAACAAATCAAACGATTCTTGTTTTTATTGTATTTTACAAAATGTTCTGACTTTTCTGGAAAAGGGGTTCGTAAAAGATGTGATGTGGTCATGCTTGAGCATGAACGTAGCATCCAGGAAAGCCTAGTCCTTTACGAGTCGCGACTTGCCCAAAACATCAGTACATAGTCCAACTGTTAAGAAAAATGTTCCTCAATGAGTGAGGAACACTTTACCTTCTGTGGTCCATGTTATCCAAAGATTCAGGGAATCTGGAAAAAAGTCTCTTACGTGCGTAAAGGGCAAAGCCAAAAAAACTACAACTGAATGCCCATAAACTTTGATCCCTCAGACAGATTACAAAAACCTGCGATAAATATCACCGCATGGGCTTGGGAATACTTTGACAAACTGTTGTCAATAAACAACGTCCATAGCTGCATCCACAAATCTAAGTTAAGACTACACTATGCACAGTGGAAGCCATATATCAACAAAGTCCAGAAACACTGTTGACTTCTCTTGAGCTCATCTGAAATGGACTGATTCACTGTAATGTTTCTGATGTCTAGGTATTTCGAGAATTGGATTCTAAAAATGTTTCATGTACACATGTACACTGATGCAGGAACACAAAGTTTTTTATCGAAATAAGCTACTAAGGGTAATAGTTTGAGAAATATTGTTTTACAATTATGAATACTGCAAAGAATATATCAAATAATGCACCATTAATTACACCCAGATAACAGACCTCAAGTGTGTATTGTTAGCACACTAGTTAATGTGCTTTTGCCTTAATATAATCAAGTACACAGCATGTGAAGCAATGCAAAGCTAAATGTTAGATTTTTAGAAGAACATAATATTTTACATCAATTCACACCTGAATATGACCAGATAGTCGATTAGAACTAATTGAGAACCGGCATTCATGTATTCTAGCTTAAGTAGCACACACAGTCTACAGGAACACTGTATTTGTTTGGCTGTTGAGTTTCAAAACAGCTAGCTTCAGCTATCTCCTGTAGTTGTGGACCCAACCTAAACATGCAACACACATAGTAATGTATTCACAGCATACAAAGAATTGTGAACCCACACACCTACCTCTTAACTGCACGTTTGCATGATAGTTTCCACTGATAACAGAATCAGTACTGGGGGTACTGCAGGTGTATGTTGCACTATCCGTCACTTTGGATTCTCTAATCCTTAACTCCACTGTACTATCTCCCAGTCTCTGCACACTGATGTCCTCATTGATCACCCGGTCCTTTAAAGACTGGTCTGGAAACGAAGAGTCAAAGGTGGAGATGACATTGATGGTTTCTGAACCTCGTGTTGCTTTCCAGTCAAAGTCCTGCTCCGGGGGGCCTTCATAGTCTGATACTTCACAGCGTAAAGACAATGCCTGACCTTCCACTCGAACCAAAGGTCCTGGTGGTACTGACACTTTTCGGGCCCAGCTCAAACCTAAACACCAAACAAATATTGTACAATCCAGTCAAATTACTTGTATAATAAATCAAGTATAATTAAAAAAAATGTCATCAATTACTGAAACTCCTAGACATTGTTATAAACAAAATGTAAATGAAGCATGTTACCATTTATATTTCACCTGAAGTCCACCTGAGTATTCAGGAAATCTTAAGGGGTTATGCATGACTTTATAATTCACTGGGGTATAAGTATGTGGTGACACAGAGGCCACATTTCATTAGTTATTATCCAACACGGGGAAGATTAGAGAATACATTAATGAAATGAAACGAACATTTGATGACCTTGATCAATCAAGCAAAAGCTATTAAAAACACTAGAAAATGCCCATACCCACTGTTAGGGCAACAATTAAAATGTTTCTAACAACCAGAGCTATAGCGAACTTGCCTGTAAGAGGACACCTTTATTTTACCCCCATGCACAGTGAGGAGGATGGTTAGAGCGTCAAACATTTCTCAGAGGATCACAGTTAAAGATTTGCATAAGATGGTAGCATTTTGGGGTCATCAAGACTCCAAAAGTACAATTAGATGACACATTCATGACAGCAAACTACCTCACAAGCTCACTAGACACTATGAAAACTCTGTCTGGAACTGGGTTCTATGGTGAGATGAGTTTTTATTTTGGACAATAAACATTCAAGATGGATTTGGTTTAAAAAGGAGCATATTATATAGAAAAGAATCCCACTGTTAAGTATGGTAAAGGATCTGTGATGTTTAGGACTGTTTTTCCTTCAAAGTCCCTGTGAACCTTTATAGGATGCATGACATCATGGTCTCTCAAATCTTATCAACCATTCTAGGTCAAGGACCACTGCTATTAGTTAGCAAAGGGAGGTTTCCTACAGTAGTATATGCAATTTTTTTCTGTTTTCATATACTAATAATACTTTACACCATTAATGTCTAATAGGAAAATTCTAAGCCTAAGCCTAATGTCAGTAACCAAAGAACAGTATAAAAAAAATTAACATGTAGCTTTTGTAAAAAGCACTTGACAAAGTCAGGACCACTCTGTCCTCAAAATGCTTAAAAATAAACACACAGGCACACTCACAGACACCAACTTAAACAAGACCTTCTTAGGGCCACAAAAGGGGTTCTCTTTGAAGAGAGGGATCACCCGCCCTTGTATAAACAGAGAGAGGAAAAACTGTGGGGAAAGAGAATGAAAAGAGGCAAAAAAGAGATGAGATCAAGTTTTGCAACATTCTCACACAGACTCTAGCAGCCATCTGTTTCTCACACTAGCAGAAGAAGGTGATTGCATGGGAACTGGAACTGGTTGGACAGCTTTAATGTTGGGAACAACTCACTACAAGACTTGCACAAGCATTCGTCTACATCACACCTCCAGCAACGCTGCAAAAAAACCTAACACTTCAAACTAAAGTAGAAGGTAAATTTAACCTTTCAAATATTATGATTAAATAACCAACCTCCCTATTGACATTATAGGGTATAGTAGTGAGTAGCTTCAGCGAACAGTCAATTCCAGATTATTCTATTATATTTATAGTTTTCTCCTCCAGAGTAGCCTACAGTTTCAGTCCTCAGTGAAGTCAGTTTCTGTTCGGTTCTAAACGAACTGAAACATAATGTGACCAGAGGTGTTTAAACTCAGAGATACATGCAGGGTGGTGTGATGCAAAAGTACCAAAAATGTCTTTTTTCAGACTCACCACTATTTTACCATTATCAATATTATATATGAAAACTGGACGGCAAATATGTTGTAGACATTTCAACCCCTGGTTCCTAATGCCAAAAATCGTTGGTGAGTTTCCCTACATCAGACCACACTGAATGTCTTTGTCCCAACAACTGAATTATACATTTTGAAAAATTAGAGGAATTCTCATTGAAAAGGTTGTTATATATACAATTTTGCAAAGAAGGGAAAGAAAGGGGAAAGCTATGCATCAATATTATACCTTTGGCCTAAGTACAAAGTAAAGGCTTATTTATATGGGTAAATTTCATACAAAGGCTCTGACATGCAGATAAACAGTAAGTATACAAACATGCATGCATGCACCCACACACACACACGCACACACAACACAGACCAAATTTAGAGTACCAGCATCTCTCACTGTGCTAATTCAGGGAGAAAGCAATTAAGCGGAGGCCTCTGTGACAATGTCATTTCAGCATGAAATAGAAATCTCTACCAGGAACAGATTACATGCACACAAACCCAAAGATATCTCTCTTAGACACAGTTCACTAGGTTAAAGAATCTTGTTAATTGCACTCTAGACATTGTGCACTCATTAAGTATAATTATGTGTTGCATGTGTTACAGGTCCTACGCTCATTTTGACTTCTGCGTGTCTTACCACTTGGTTTCATTGGCTAAATCTTAAAAACGGCCCCCTACTCCCTATATAGTACACTGTATAGGTCACAAAACTATGGCTTCTACACCCCAATAGTGCACTAAATGTTAGATAGGGAGTCATTCAGAATATGGCTGAATATAAATTGCTTTCTATTAGATAAATAATATTTTAATGTAGAAGCTGTTATTTCATGACTGCACAGTCAATGGCTACCATGGAAGGTAGCCATTTGTGATTCAGCCAACACCACACACTAGTCAGGGTTAGATTTTAAATATACTTTAATGACAATTTTGTGAAGAAATAAAAAGCTCAAACTCTAAATTGAGAGGTGTGACCATTCAAACAGTACAGAAGCTGGCTGAAAAATAAAACACAAAAAAGTAATTACTAACTTAATGTCAGTGATTCAACTGTAAATGAATAAAAAGTAGATTCCTTTCCTCACGTATTTACTTGTGTGAGTAAAAGTATTATCTGAAAGTAATACTTTTATCTGGAAAAAACTCCAGACGATACAAATCCATCAACATGTTACTTAATGAACTGACTAAATAAAACTAGGTACAACACACTTCCGATTATTAAGATCAATATTAAAATCACACTCTGTAACTCATATAACATAATATAACTTAGCTATAATATAACTCTTATAAGTGATTCCTTATTTCTCTATCTGCTGGTTTGAGGTAGCTTTTGGTGAAGACAGTAATGAGTCTGATTCTGCCACTGACCCTTCCTCTCAGATACACCACTGTCCTTCATCAGTCCCGTAATGTGTCCTGTACTCACCGCCGGTAAAACATAGGATGAAAAGCGCGAGCAGCCTTTCCATGCTGTGGTGGCACGTAGTTCTTGATAAACCTCCGTCCTTCTCTGACACGCACTGACGATATCTTACGTGCCCGTTCTCTGTCATGTATTTTCGCGATTCAGAAACAAACCTGTTCACCACGTTGGGGTCAGATTCACACAGGAGGAGCGAGCGTTACCGGACAGTCCTTCACTTCACTTGCGTCTGTGACGCAATGTGACGAAACCTCGGTTTTCGACTGGTGAACCGAGTCCTTAAGCAGTTTTTAACCAACAACGGAACCGCTCGAACAGATTTACTGGCTGGGAAGCTCCTCGGTTAATTCAGAATTAGGTCTGTTTGAACGCAGGTCTGGACAGGTTAGCTTTACAAAACCAAGATTTACTCGCTAAAACGCGCATTACCTTTCTCTTCAACAAGGCTCATTAGGAAAGAAGCGGAAAACACCTCTCTCATATCAAAGGTCATGCTACAAAAATTGTTCAGGTGTGGCGAGCACGTGACACGTTAGCGACTCTTGATAGTAGCTCTAGTCTTTTCACTTTTCCTTGGGAGGGTGGCGCAGCAGATCTGGCAGGTGCTACATGGGGACATCTGTCTATGCTGATCTTGGATCAGTAGGAGATCTCTCTCTCTCTCTCTCTCTCTCTCTCTCTCTCTCTCTCTCTCTCTCTCTCTCTCTCTCTCTCTCTCTCTCATTAGGAAACGACAACACAGACAATCTTTCATGCCCTCTAGTGTTCAAAACATCCGAGTAAGTCGAGATTTTTCATACCCTGCTGAAAACACGTCTGGGTCATTATACAGAAACGTCCATTTTTGTGTCCCTAGCGTTTACAGATATATTACACTTAAAAAACATGTTAAGGTTACAATCAATTTAGCAATACACACACACACACACACATCTTATAAGCCGCTTATCCTTCTGGGTAATTTAGCAAGTTAGTTTCAGTTAAAAATATGTTTTTCTGCAATTTTAACTGCAATAATCTATACATGACTATGAAATATATTAATTAAATGACATAAAGAAAACAAATGTATATAATGAATGTTGTGCTCCCCAGGAGTTGTGTCATTGGTGTTACTGCCTAACAAAAAATCTCTTATTTTGAAATAAAAATCACACTGATGACATCACTTGACTTCCTTTTACCTATTTTCTAAGATCTATGAAGAAAAGCATGTGGTAAGTCCACTGCATCTTTTCAGTTATCAGAAATTTTTCATTTAGCTTGTGATTTTGAATATGAAGCTTTTAGTTGACGTCACTGGTATGACCTACTTTATTCTTAGGTGATTGTGAAGAAATAGAATACAAATGGATTAAATTACATATTTTAGTGGATATTCCATGATTTACAACATGTGGTTTGATGCTCTGTAGCAGCCATTTAGTAAAATGCATTTTTCATTAAAAATGTCACAGTGACTGATAGATAAAAAAAATGGACGTTTCTGTAGAATGACCCATCTTCAAAGCTTCGCATTCATCAAGAGTAACCTGGAGCTTCTGCATCTGTTCCTGTGAATGTAAGAGCCCACTGAGGCATGTGGCCTGAGCTGCAGAAGTTTTACTTAACATGAGTGTGAATAAGATGTTGAAGTACAGACGAAAGCATGTGAATCAGGAATTGATATTGCTTCATATTTATATTCCACTGAGACAGGAAATCATGAAATGCCGCTCAAGAGTTTGAACGTTAGAGGATGTTTGAATTAGCCTTTGTAAGTGTTTCTATTGATGTACAACTTTGATGTACAGGTTTTAACAGGTAACAGAAATGATTTCTTGAGACATCACTTTTTCTTTTCTCATCTCTTGTCATTTTTGTGTTCATCCTTAACAGGAGTGACAGTTATTATAGAGAAAAATGTAAGGAGAATTCCTGGTTTAAATACTACTTATACAGAAGTGCGTAGTTCTTTAAAAAGCTTTAAGATGTTTTTTAAAATTAAACCTGTGTGGGACAGGGGCATAGCCAAGGGGTGGCCAGTGCCACCCTGCCAAGAAGTGTGGCCACCCCATTTATTCAAAGTGAGACAGTCAGCTATCATCAACTCACCGCAGAAAACTTCGGCTAAATTGTGTGAGCAGTTTTACAGTGAAAATCTGCCTTCAGGGCAGTTACCAATCAGTTATGATCTGATGTTGCACTCAGTAAGCACCTTTTCTCACAGGTAAGTGAATGCTGCTCAAATCCTTAATGTTATTATTGTTTGTTTTGCTTAAGGAAGCAGCTAACATAGGCTTGCTACTTCAGGAAAATGTTTAAAAGCACCTAAACAAAATCTCTATGTCAATGTATTACAGTATTTTTGTTCCATGGCGTGATCTTTGTGGAGTGATGTAACAGTTTTCAGCAGAGATATTGCTTTCAGTTTTTTCAGAATGAAACTGCATTTAAAAATGTGGTTAACCAGGTAATAACTATAAGCCTCATTCACCAAAAAGACATTTTTTCTTAAAACACACTTAACACAGTTTTTACGAAGAATCCGACATTCACCAATGTTTTCTTATTTGGGATTTGTTCTTAGGTAAGAAAAGAATCGACACACACTCAAGAGCACAAAAGTGTGAACAATTCTGTGCTTTAAAGAACAAGTCATGAATCTGATGTAGACCTTTCTCAAGAAAACATTTAAGAGAAAACCTAGGAAGATATTAGAGAATGAGGCCTATTATTTTTGTAATTTTCATAGAATTTTGACCACATTTATAATTTACCCATTGCTGCTCTGTGAGCTACATTTATATGAAGTAGACCATATGATGCTAAGCTTTCAAAAATGAGTAACTACTATCACTACTACTAGACAGATAGTAATGTCTATTGTTTATAATGTAAGCTAAATCCGATTTACAGCTGAGTACATGCATGTGTTTCATGCTGCAGGCTTGATTTTGTTAGAGGTGAATCCGGTGCTGAGTTTACGTTCCTACTAATGCAACACTAGGTTAGCTTGATACACAAGCCAAATATTATTCTCTTATACTATTGCCACACACCTTTTTCCCTAGTAGTTTTCCACCCCAATAAAATCGCTGGGTCTAACCTGGCACCCTGATTGAAATTAACTTTTTCAATGGGGTGGCCCAGTGGTGCTGGAAAACAACACATATACACAGGGTGATTCAAAAAGATTCATTCGATTTCAAAGCGCCATATTTTTACAACCATGAGGCGCCTAGGAACCAATCACATACCAATTGAAAGAAGGGTTCATAGAGTTTCTGACTGTCACTATGGTAGTGAACCTCCAACAGCTCAGAGTATTTGTCATTGGTACCAACAGTTCCAAGAAAAAGGTCACCAGCATCACCAGATCTCACGCCATGTGACTTTTTTTGTGGGGGTACATTAAGGATTCTGTTTATGTGCCACCACTCCCAACAGCACGGGATGATCTCCGAAATTGCATTGAATGAGCTGTGAGTACAGTGATACCCCACATGCTCAATCGAGTATGGGATGAATTTGACTATCGCATTGTCCGTACAGCTGGAGGAGGTCATATTGAGCACTTGTAAAATTACATAATAAACTTTATGCTCACTTAAACCATTAACAATTTACTGCATTGTTCTTAATGATTTACAAGTAAACAATCATTTTGAAATCGGATGAATCTTTTTAAATCACCCTGTGTCTATATCTGTGTGTATACCTGTTAAACGTTCTGTAGTCATGACAAGTCATAGCCAAGGGCTAACCTGTGCCATTCTAGCATGAAGCATGGAAAGTAAGACAGCCATTGTCAATAAAGCATCAGTTATGCTTTAGGGTGAAAATGTGCTATCGGGTTGTTATCAATCAGTTATTAAGTTAGTATGAAGACGCCGTATTTAATAATAGCGTATCTTGCTGTAATAGAACTATTTGCTGAGGAAACAGGTGAGTGAATGTGCACTGGGTCTCTTTAGCAGTGCTACTGGGTCATTCTTCATTTGGAGTGGGAAGCCATGTCACAAAGGTTGCAGAGCTTAAAACGTTGCTTAAAAGATTAGGCACAGCTCCAAGAGTCATTATGTACATTTAAACAGTTGACCTGAAATTAAATATTTCCCTTATCCTTTCTTTCATTTTCTTTTTTTCCAGGTTTCATAGTGCACTACATATATGAAACAGCTTATCACGTAACCAATTTTCAACATTTGAGAAACTATTTTTAATATAAAACAATATTTTTAAGAAATTGTATAAAACAGATTAATGTTTACTGTGTACATCAGTAACATTATAGTACATTTTAAAAATTGGATTTTATATATTTTTTGTATTGTATTTAAAAAATACATTTGTCATCTGGACACATAACATTTTAACATAGTATTTTCATCTCTATTAAATTGTTTTCTTGAGTCAAGGCTTATCAGAGAAGAAGCATCTTAAGCTTAATTTTAGGCAGCACATCACTTTCTTTTTGTCACTATTGTTATGTGCTTTAATGGCTAGATAGTTGCACATGATCACTTTGCCATCAATGGGGCAGACTGTTTACAAAATCCTCGATGTTAACAGTAATGTCACTAGTGTCACAGTCACTGGTGTTACACCATATTCATATAACACTAGTGACATGCTGTGACATCAGTAACTGATGCTAATATCAAGAATGATCAGAACACTTGAAAAAATAGCACATATGGAAATGGGATCTTTATCGATATGTAAGTGCTTATTTTGCTACCCTGGCTAGGTCAGCCATACAGAGTGCAGAAGAGAGGCAGAGGCTGTATAGACAGCTTTGAGTTTCAGATAGGGCTGCTTACTTAGCAAAAAACAAGAGACACATACTCCTCAGCCCTGAGACTGGACAGTTTAAGAACAAATAGTGTTTTGTTATGTTCTCTGCTGCCTACTAACTAGCATAATAGTTTTTTAAAACATATATATATATATTTTTTTTTTTTTTTGCTTTTTTTTCTGGTAAACATATAATATTCAGTGTTTGGTATAGTGAACATTTAGATGTAGGCATAAGATTTAACATATCAAGACACAAAGCAAACACTAAAAATCTCTGGGTCTTTCCTGGCCACCCCATTCTAAAAGCTCTAGCCGCACCCCTGCTCAGCCATTCTGCTGTGATGTCTAATATCTGTCCAAAAAACACTGTGAAATTGAGAATCAAAACCAGCTTGGTTGCACTTACCACAGGTGAAGCATAGGGGGCAGTAAATATTACAAGATGGCATTGTTCGATAGAAGTACTTGATTTGCTTGTATTTGAAGCAAGTAGCTTTGCTCCTGTTTCTTCAGTTGATACGGTTCACTGGAAATCAAGGTTATTCCGTTATGTTGGAGGGGGTAAATAGAGTTTCATGGAGTTTTGACCAGGAATGTTGTGTATTTCTGATGTTGTCATTCAAAAGAACTTATTGTCTTACAGATATTGAGTGCTGACTGTGGTGCCAATCAACGTTCTGCACATGCTTCTTATAACAGCAAGGTGGCACATGGGAGTTAAAATATGAGAGA